GGTAGAAAGTTGCGGGAAGAATCAACCGTCCCCTGGAAAAACCAGACAGCGCACGCATAAAAAAACGGCTGGGCTCCACATCTCTTGCAGGCCATTTGATGCTGAGCGCCGGAAGCAGCTGATGTCCAGGAAACGGCTCTGTTTCAGCTGGTTTTGGACACCAAGTTTGCCAGACAGGCTTCGCTCGCTCCTGCCGAACGAGCTGTCGGAGGCACCAGGGAAAAGAAGAGCAGATACATGTCTTTCTGTTCTGGATGTCGAGGCTGAAGTCAAGAGCTCGATTTCGCCTGCTTGGGTAGCACATCTTTCGACGCTTCCCCCGAAGTGGTCCATGTTGGATGTACGCCGTGATTGCATGGGTCTAGCTGGCTTGTGAATGCCTCTCCTGCTCCTTCTCCTTCTCCTCTTCAATTCTTCCTTCTCCTTCCAGTACAGTCTTCTCAGCCTCTGTGCTGACGCGTTCTGTGCTGTCTTTGCTGAACTTTACTGGCATTGATGGCCTACGTCGCTGGTGTCGCACGGTGCGGAGTTCCCACTCTCCACGCAGCATGCAAGCGTTTGCAGTGTAGTCGAAGGTCGAAAGAGAGAGAGTCCACGGCTTCATTGGCAGTGCAGCTGAATGCTGAAGAACATGCGTGCACTATGCCGACCCACAAGCCAAGTCCCACACCCCACAAATCACAGCAGTCAGGCCCTCGTTTCTTCAGCAGTGGAAGCGTTACACCGTAAAGCCTGGATGAAGATCAAGCTTGAAAATTAAAGCCCCAAAAGGAAGCGTGCCACATCCAACAAGTTTAATGGTTGGCAGGATGAGATGAAGAAGGAGCTGGACCCACTGAGGTTGTGAACGCACAGGGCTTTGACATTATGGTGCAAAGTTCACCTCGGCTTTCCTGCCGCAAAGCAGCTTGTGTGGCCTGTACCGTGGCCTCGCCATTCCTGACTCATGCAGCTGAAGGGGTTTGCATTGGAGATGTGCAAGATTCTGCTAAGCACGTCAGCGGGTGCGTGCAGAGCCATTTCGAATGCAGGACAGCACGCAGCTGACAATTGTGTCGGGCGGCCACAATCCAATTCGCGACTATGTCGCAGCCGTGCTGCAGGTCCGCTGTCGGTATGAGCTTACCGACCGCAGAGCATGCTTGCGAGTATGCTTGCCTGAGGCAGCGCGCGGCGGTGGAGCGTCTTAGCACAAGCAGTGTCGGCATGTCGCGTGAGTTGCTGTTTTGTTTGCCAAGGTATGTTTGCGTGCCCGGCTGAAAGCCATTCCTAAAGCAATCTCAGTTGCTGAGGCGCAGCATAGTGGGCCACTCTGGTGGGTGCACGAAACAAACGAATTTTGCGAGCGCTGTCCAGGTGGCCATGCGCTGTGCTGCTGATCAAGGATTCCACTGCACTTCGAAGGCCAACGACTGCCGGAAACGTTGTCTTCCATCTTTTGTTTCGGTGACGGTTCGTGTCGTGTTATCAGAATCCAAAGCCTGGGTTTAACGAGTTCGCAGGCGTGCAGCTGCAAACAGCTTCAAAGGTTCTCAGTTCCAACAGATCTCAGCGATGGAGCGATATCGTGCACAGCTTCCCACTCAGAGGGTGAGGGCCACCATGGGCCACCAGAAAAAGCGAAAAATGTTAAGCCGTTCCTGTTCACGCCGGGCTGACCCGGAGCCGAGGGTTCTCTGCCAATCGGGACCTGATGTCAGAGGGCAAGAAGGGGATGGGGCAGGGACATCGCTTGTAGGACTTTTGCCTGTTGCACCATGGCTGTTCTTACTTACTTACAGGCAGCTCGGAGTCTTGCCTAACGCCAGGTACTTTCAGGGTGTTGCTGCTGGTTAGATGACATTGAATGAAATCGGGGCAAGCTCGCATGTGACTGTTGACCATCCAACGGTTGAGAGGTTGTCCCACCTTCGAGGAGGGTCGTGGCAGACGTGTCGCTGCCAGGAATCTTTACGGCTGCCCTCAGAGCTTAGGGTCTTGGTTGCCGTTCTTTCGCGACAACTTCACCACCGGCACGAAAGATGTGGATGATGTGGCATGGATGGGAGAAGTACTGCCATGAAGTAAGGGGCCTCCCCGGCCGCAGGGGTCGGGGAGGCCTCGAGCTTGGTCATGTCAAGGCGTGCAAATAGTTGGGTGCATCGGCGCCCAGCATGAGCGGACAAGAAATGGCTCCGCAGCACATGCCCAACTGGCCCTAAACTCTCTAGAAAATGAGCAAACTTTGCAAACACCAGACACGACGTGTAAGGCTCTAGCCATCAGATCTCTTGATTGCACCGGGGGGGTGGATTGCCTTCCTCTTGAGGGCTCCGGTGAGTCATGACCGCGCAAACCAGCGCAAGTGGCGTGCACTCGATGTCGGCACAGGGTCTGGACCAGGTCCTAGGGATGAATGGCCCCATTAGGTCTGGACCTACAAGCGGTAATGGTGTTCGAGTCGTCCGCGTTGGGGCGATATCGTCCCAGGACGGCGGGTTCGGGCTCGTCTCGGAAAGTTTCAACCTGCCTGTGTCTGGCGATATTGAACTACTGTGCGCATGGTTCTGGGATCTCGCTCTGCCTGGAACCCAGAACCCTACTGTAATCACTAATTTCCCAAAGCCACTGTGAAACGTGGGCTTCTTCCAACCCTGACTGTTTCTTAGAATTGGTCCAGCAACGGTGCAGGGTGCCATTTCAGAAACGGCTTAAGACATGGGAAGGCCCGGCAGTGTCTTCTTCAAATTTTCGATCTTCCAAACCCTTGCACATTTTGCTGGGGGGCCGCGGCCCCATGCCTATCACGTACCTGAAAGACCAAATTGCGGAATGGACAAGACGACATTGGGGGAATGTTTGTGTTGTGTTCAGATGGTATTTGGTTGGCATTGGGTAAGAAGGTGAGAGTTCTTCGGAATGCCGTGATTTGCCAATTTTTGGGCGCGTTGGGCCTTGGTCCACAAGAGTCAGTGTGCAGGGCCGCAAGGCTTCTCAATCCATTGTGTCAGCTCGGCGTGTATCTGGTGATTTCCCGCCTTGGCACTGTTCCCCAGACGGTGGGTGACGTGCGAGATTCATCGGGCATCCCGTGCGGGGAGGCGCAATTCGAGGATGGCTCGCGCAAACAAGCGAATGCACAGGCGGGATCAGGAAAGGAGGTCTGCGCAGGCGCTGCACGAAGAGGTTCGCCCCTGCTTCAGAGCGTGGGGCTTGAGGAGCCATTCTTTTGGCTTCTTTCCTTCCCTGCTTGAACATCGGCCTCCTTTCGACTCGTCCCTTGGTGAAAACGTCTCTGCCTTCGGACGTCTGTGTATCGACACCAAGCACGATGGCACGATCAAACACCAATTTCCGAGCTGGCCGGATCTGATGTTGCTCAGGTTTCGTCGAGCAGTCAGAGGGCCCCTCGCATGTGTCATCGGTTTCAGGCACCGCTTCAGGCTTCTTATGGCTTCTTGAAGCGGTGCAGCAGACATGCACGAGTAAGGGTTGATAGCTGATAGCGAGATGTAGCGAACTCGTCTGCAGACGAGGTCGTTGGCTGAACCAGAAGGTGAGTGAGATCATTCGAGAATTGTTGTGGTCTCTTCCTTCCAAGGCTCATGGTTTTGTAGCTTGATGGGTACAATGGGTGTTGCAGCAGCAACGACCACCCAGCGGAGGGCAACGAAACCTCGCGCCAGAGGCTCGGTTCGCCTATCGAAGGCAGCAGCAATGACAAGCGACGACGTGCTGCAACTCCACGCTTCCTACTGTAGTCGGTTGTTTTATCTTTCCTGACGTTGCATAAAGTCGTCGCTTGCTTCGCAGGAATGTGTGCGTGTGTGACAAGACCAACGAGCAGACTACCAGTAGGAACGACCAAGAAAGGAATCGGGCGATTCAATTCGCGAGAAAGATTGTTCATTTCTCATGTGTGGAATGGCGATGAGATAGTCTTCGCTTCGCAAGTGTGGGGTAGTGCGAACATGCAGATTTGAGCTTCGAGTTCCGTCCTTTGCCGGTTTTGATGGCTAGGCTGAGCTCCTGGGCATGCGCAAGGACACAGCTCTCGATACACATATGATGTAGTGTTGATGTTTGTAGGTGGCAGCGCGGTCGAAGCCAGCATATCCTGAAGGAGGGTGACGACAGACGAGCAGGAATCGAGGTGAACCTTGTCCTGCGTGCTACCGCTGGCTGCTGTTGTCACTTCCTCCCACATCCTACCCTCACAGATCGAGATCCGCTTGCAGTTTGAGAAAGTGGCCGCGCAGCCTACCGCACAGGAGACCATGTTCTGTTACATAGGCTTGCCTTGGATTGCCTTTTTGCAAAGTTGAGCTTGATGCTCTCGAAATCCGAAGGACGACTCTGCTCAACCAGATGGGGGGGACTTGCGGTAGCTCAACGTACCTCAACGTTCTTCAACGTGCTGAGCGTTTCAAAAGGTCTCTGCATTTTTCAAGCCACTTCGAGTGCGAGCAGCGTGAGCAGTGTGGGTAGTGTGAGCATTGCGAGCGCAGGTCAAGTCCGATTTCAGCCGCCTGCGGACTGATCATGCAGACAGCCGCAAGTCTGTAGTGGTCCTCAATGAGGCTGGTCGCGGAGCTGGTGAAGCCAACGAGATGCCACCAAACAAAGTGAAGTCCAGCATCTGGAGCCATTCTGCCGCAACTTACGTGGCTCGAATGCAGCAGGAAGACTTGTAAGCTGGCCAAGGTATGCCCTCTTCCCAGACACCAGACAGAGAGAGGAAGAAGAGAGTCTCGCAGAGGCAAGCAACTAGAAGAGTTTGAGCAAAATTGACCTCTGCCTGTGCCGTCAGGCACAGGCATGGTTGGAGAAATCTTACTGCTAGCCCTTCGTTTGCGTGACTCGTGCTTGACCGGACATCTCGAGTATTAGTTCCTGAGAATAGTGCCAATGATGCACGTCGAGAATGCAGCTATGCAGTCCAATCCGAGAATGTGGCGCACCCAGAACCCTTTGCTTGGTGCATTGCAGCATGTGGCCTGCAGCAACATGCCGAGGGCAACATGCCTGAGATGCTCGGGCCCTTGGGGCCCTTGGGGCCTTCGGCTGGTTCCTGGCGAGGAGGCATGCTAACGCCCTTTTTGGGAACAATTGGATCGTTGTAAGCTCAAGTTTGTTGGAGTACTTTGAGTATTCAAGCTCACTAGGCCCACCACCTCCAGCTGGGGCAGCATACACAGCTGCTATCAGCGCGCTGGGACGCAGGTCATGTTGGGATGAGGACACCTGCGCCGTTGCAAGTGTTGCAACTAGAACACATCCACTGCTCGTTCCACAGGTTTCATGATGTAAAAGACCTTGCGGCGGTTCACTTGCAGGCTTGCCATATTGCCCCTTTGTGCTCGAGCATGGATGCTAAAACGGCGAAGCATGACTTAAGAACCGCATGAACCGCGCAGCAGGACGAACATCTAGCCAAGTACACACCGCATCACACATCGACACACGTGATTCTTGCACTCTCCAGTGACACCATGACAGCTCCGTCTGGACAGCAGCTGGCCAAGGCCACAGCTCAACAGTGGGTCCATGTATGTCCATGTCGCATATGTCGCATGGAGATGTAAAAAAAGATGTATGAAGATTAACAAATACTGTCCCGAATGCAAACCCGGACGCTGTCACTCCACTCCAGGTGACAGGTAGCCTTGCCGTGCTCGAGGAGCAGCTACGAAGTTTGGCCGACATGGCTGGAAGTTTGGAGCCTTCAGAAGCGAAGGAATCCACCAGAGAAGTAATGAACGGTCTGGCTGCACTGGAGCGTGATCTAGAGGCTGCGAAGGAAGGCTCTGCTCTGCTTTTGATTTCAGCTTGTGCCGCTTGTGTGCTGTTTTGTTGGTGCTCATGTTGACCTCGAAGGGCACGCCATCGTTTTGTTGCTGTTTTTTGCTATGTTTTTGCTATGTTTTTTCTATGTTTTGCTGTGGGAGGCTCTGGTGGAGCTGATCCCGAGCAGTGCCAGAAGCTACAGAAGCGGATCACCGATGCCACCACAAAGGCATCGAGATTGCGAGCGACGGCTTCGAACAAGCATGCCCAGAGCATGGAGCCGCTTCGAACTGAGGTGGCACAGGCTGTACTTGCCCGTCTTTCCAAGAAGCGAAAAGAAGAGGATCTTGATCCTTTTGCTCTCGCGGATCAAGACAAGGATGGCTTTGTCTCACGCAGCGAATTCCAGAACTTCGTGAACGACTGCCCTGGAAATTTCTCACGAGATCAGCTTAACAAGCTTTTCGACTATTTGGATGATTCTCGTTTGGGCAGCCTTGAGAGAGACGACTTCATGCGTTGCATGATTGTTTTCTATCGTGTTTCACGGCCAAATGTTGACCTTGTACAGACCATGGGGGTGGCGCAGGGCAAGCTGGTGCGGAAACTGGATGTAAACGAGATTCTGGAACTACTAGAGGGCCCGATCAAAGAGATTAACAAGGTTGTAAGGGTGAAATGCAAAGCGATGAAGGATGGAACTGTTGGTTGGGCAACTGCAACTGGAAGCAACGGTGTTGTTTTTGTGGAGCAGAAGCGCGTTCACTTTCAGGTCAAGAGTTCCACGACCTTGACGGATGTGCTGTCAGCAAAAGCTTGCACCAGCCTTCGCCAGCTGAAAGAGGGCGAGCTGCTGGAAGTCCTGGTTTGGGAGAAAACTGATCCTACAACAGGCCTTAGGCGATTGAAGGGACGAGCGCTGCGGGACGGTGCTGTCGGCTGGGCCACAATCGAGGGCAACAAAGGCACAACACACCTTACCATGGTGTAGACCGGTGTAGACTGGTGCGGATTGAAGAACCTTTCCGCCTTTGTTCGTGCTCACTGGACCAGACCCGAAAAAGCTTCCACAAGTTCTGTGCTTTTGAACGAATATACCTTTCTAAACGTCATGTTGTTATCAGTAGCCTCAGTAGCCCAGCATCCAGCGTAGGCTCTCGACATGCTCGGCAGTATGTCAGTGCCCCGGAGTTGGTCTCTTTCTTGACGTGCTCTTGCACATGATTGCACTGTGCTTGCACGTTTCACACATTTTACACATGCTTACACTTGCTTGCACACTGTTACAAGTGACATGTCCAAGGCCTCGAAATACTTTGCAGCCAAGCTCCATTTCACGAAATGCTGCAGCACCTTGCAGCAGTCTATGATGGAGGGTTGGATGATATTGGATGGTAGATGCTTGCGCGTTTCTGCTTCAGCTGCGTTCGACACGCTAATCCTTGACCCAACAACCTAGCTTACATTCAATCCTGTTCCTCATCATGGCCGTCGCCGTCGCCACCATCGCCATCATTGTCATCGTCGTGTTCGTCGACCTCATCATGCTTTCCATCGGACTCTGCCACTGAAGCGTAGTTAGCCGAGCACCTGCCCGGACCCGCCCTCACCATCCCTCACCATTTGAGGGCCTGTGGTGGCTTGCGAATTCAGTCCTTAGCAGAAGCGCAATTCGTCTTGTCGATGCAGCTGTGCGAGGCTTCGGGTGACAAATGTGGCAGCTCGAGGAATGCTCTCGTGCTCGTGTCCCGGTTTTGCATTGCTGCAGTCTTCTCTGCCTCTGCGGAGGCCCGTCAGGGCTGCCTCGCCCGTGCCGACAGTCGTAGCTGAGCCACTGGAGCCATGGCCCATGGCCCCCATGGCCCGCATCATGGCCCTGCCGTACCAGGTACCAGGCATGCCATGCCCCCATGGCCCATGGCGCCCGTGGCCCCCGATCCCATGTCCCTAAGGAGTTTTAAGGGCTCCAGTGCATGCCCGCCCGCTCCGCTCCTTGCAGGATCTTGTGACCCTGCGTTGCACCCGCAATGGCTTCACCAGCTCCAAAGTTCATGATACAATGGTTTGCACCAGTCTGCCGTCATGTGGACGTCTGGAAAGCACCCCGCCCTCCCTACAGCTGTATACCGATGCGTCGTTGCACGTTGTGGTGACGAAAGAGCACAACAGCTGCTCGATGAGAAGTTCAGCTGCACATACTCGTACTGAGCATTTCCGGGAACGAAGCACGCAGTGTTCATGCTCGGTGTCAGTTGTGTCACTGACTGTTGACCTCTCAGTTTTGCCCCAGGAATATGCCCATGCGCTCACACGTCTGATTTCCGAAAGAGTGACAGCGTTTCGGGTCAGAAGATGTGGTGTATGGCTATCGGTGCTTGCGCGTCCCTGATTCGCTTAGCTCGTTTCTCTCGCTGCCTTGATTCGCGTAGTTCGTGTTTCTCGCACAAGTGCCTTCACTATGTGATTGACAAATCCATGAGTCCAGGGGTCTTGTGGGCAGCAGGGGCCAAGCATCCTGAAGAGGTTTCAGCGCAAGGTTTCGAGAAAGTTCGGAGAGCAGGTTTAGCACAATCAGCTGTAAGGCAGATGCGTGCGCAAGGTCACACAGGCCGTTCTGCCGATCGGGATAACTTGCGAAGCCTTTGCGTATACCATGTTTGTTGAGGTGGAGGCATGGTCTCAGTCTATTGAAGGGATACGAAGATGCCTGTTTGCAGCACGACATCTTTGCTGGGATCTCAGCACGCTTCGCTACGGCTACGGCTACTGCGTTGCTGTTTTACGTGAAAGGCCTGGACTGCGACCATCAGTGGGATTGGCAGGTGCAGGATGTGGAACGAGGCCGCTTCCGAAGCTGCTTGGTGCTTTGGTGCTGCTTTGACAGTGGCGGTCATGACGTCTTTGCCGCAGAATGGACTGTGACAGACTCCCTAAGTCCATAGGTCCATAGGTCCATAGATGTCCATAGGTCAGGGAAGCTGCTAGGCCACACGGCTGCTTGTGGAAGCGACTGCTTGTGGACTCAAGCCAACAGTTGTGGGCCGAGTTTGACCTAGATTCATCTAGTTTCATTAGATTCCAGATGAGTGATGGTTTCAGTATGGGCCGTTGACCAAAAGTCCCGAGGCGGTGAGCCTAGCTGCTGTTGCTGCAGCGAGAGGCTAAGCCGCAGAATTGCGATGCGCATAGAGCAACATGGCGGGAGCCTTTGAGGCATTGGACAGAGGCTCGTGTGGAATACCACATCATCCAGGCATCCATTCGAGATATGTTGCAGTTCTTCGTCGTGTCAAAAGGCTCCCAAGCGGAGGCGGCTCGGTCTGGGGCAGGACTGACTTGGGTTAGATTGGATAACGCGCAGTCGCCATGGTCCCACCTCCATCCAAAAGGATCTTGTTGGGCAAGGGCCCTTCAACTACTGACAGCGGCTCAGACCTTGACCACTTCGTGCGTACCACTTGTCGTTTTTTTTTTTGGTTCGCTCTGTGCAGGGCTCAGAGCCGGTGTGAGCAGGCACTCGCATGATTCACCACACTCAAGTGTGGAAGGTGTCAATGCTGTGCGGGCCACAGCAGGGCAACTTGCAGCGAGCTGCAGTGAGATCATTCGCCTGAATCTGGCTTATCTGGCTTACAGGGCATCAGTGCATCCGGCCGCATGAACTTCTGGTGCACCTCGTTGACATCTCAGTTGGTAAAGGCAGATGGTCCTGCTACAATCATTCACTGCTGAAGGCTTGATATTGCAAGAGCGCTCATCGCACAACGGTTGAGGCCCCCTGCAGCTACCCCTGCAGGGACTGTTCTTCCGCTGAGCCTCTCATGCGTTTGCAGATGTTTGCAGGCCCAGTGCGGTGTCTTTCAACGCAGCGGTCCATGCCACTGCAGGCTTCGCGAAAGCAGGGATTCCTTTTCTAAGTTACATCACGGGGGCTTTGGTGCGTAAGACAATAATCTGCAGCTCTGTAACTACTCGCGAATGTAGCCAAGTTCAGCAGATTCAAGGGATGAGCAACTGGATGCGAGCCGTGGAGCTGATAAGCGGCGTGCGGCTCGGTGCTGGCTGTGTCCGGTTTGGCTACTTTGCATCGCTCCTTGGCCATGTGTGCTCAGCCGAGGCATTTCGGAAGCTACGCTGCAACCTAACGCAGTTCTGTGCTCAGCGTGACAAGCAGACTAGCGTGACTAGCATCTGTGTCTTCGCCGACAACTGTAGCAGACATGAAGGTAAGTCTGGTGACCTTGTTGAGCAGTCTGGCCACGGGGGCGCTTTGGCGCAGGCTTTCAAGAGTGTATCTGCACGTATTCTCGAGAGCGTGCCCAGTGTTTGCAAGCGTATGTTCTTATGTGCGAGCATTCGCGTGACTCGAAATGATTCGTGTGCCTGGACGTCTCTCTCAGGGCTTTGACAACTCTTGAAGCTTTCACGACCCGTGGCCTCGCATCGAATGCGTTCGCCTCACTTCGGCTCACTTGCATCTTGGCTTTCTTGCACTTCCTATGATCCCCTGCAGCGACTTGTCCGGCTCTAGCGGAGGAAGCGCACAACACACTGCTCCTTGGAGTCAGTCGGACGCTCAGCTCCAGCTTGAGCTGCAGTCATCTGCTGGGGACGTGGCACGGTCAGGTCGAGGATCCAATTGGGTCCCTGGCTATGACCAAGTTGCATGTCGCTGGCAGAACTGGCATAATGGCACATGATCGGCAGTGAGGCCCTGGCATTTTCGCATTGGAATACATTTTGCATTGATGTGGTGCTGAGCTCAGCTTGAATTCTGGTCTTGAGTTGTTGCATGTGAGAGCATCTGGTGTTTAGCACTTCGCACATACTCCCGCTGCCATCATCCAGCGCTTGGAAGCATCCATACCAAGAGCTGGCTGTTTTATACTAGGTGTATCGCTGTGATGCAGGGGACCCTATCGGAACCGAAACTTCCTGCGGCTGCAACAAGCAGATGTGTTGCGCACATGGACCTTTGCTAAGGTAAGACGTACTGTACCAAGAAAGCAAACTCATGGCCTCAGGAAGGTTGTACGTTAATTACAGAGATGGCTGGCAATTCGGGTTGTTAGTAGATCTCAACAGATGGAATTGACGGCTTGCACCGTTGACAAAGTTGCAAGAATGACCTGTGGTAAAATATCTCGTGACAGTGCAAACTGCGAGACACAACCTTTTCGATGCCTTCTTGTGCGCATTAGCTTCCTCATTCAACGTGGGCTTTGTATGGTTAATGCAGATCAGCCGTGGAGTGTGTTGAGTTAATTTGGACTGATGAAAGATGAGTCTGTGATGTCTGTTTTGGAGTTGTACTTCTTGTTTCAGGAAGCTAGTCTGCTTCCGGCCTATGCTGCAATCGAAGGCTTTGGGTGATGGGCTGTGGGCTCTGTGCCTTGCTTCCAGACCTATTTAACCCATTTCCACGTTGCCAGACTGGTACACCGTACACCGTCGTCTCCATGCGTCTCTTCTTGCAGTAGCGGACAATCCAACATGATGTGAGGGGTCTTTGCCAAGAGCCAGACCACTGTAGCTCTATTTGTCCAAGCCGCAATCCGTGCGATGAGTGGCTTCTCGCAGTGCTCACAAGCGAGTAGGACTTCTGCCGTTTTTCTATCGGAGGGTGTGCGGGAGCCGGAAGGGAAAGGATCCCATCCCCAAGACCTCCAGCACAATGCCCCCGGTTGGACAGACGTCACACAAAAATCTCTAGAACATCTCTAGAAGTATGCAGCTTTGGAAGAAAGCAGATTGACATCCTTTTGAGCATTCGTTGCTTGAGGTCGGCACAAGCGCCACGATGCCACGGGCCTGGCATCAGTTGAGGGTTGCTCTCTCTGTTCTTGGCAACTTTCTGAGCTTCCCTTTGAAAATACGGCCAGTAAGGGGCCTGACATGCGTGGCATCGGCCTGAAAGGTCTGGGTTTGCCACGAGCGGCTTCTGGGAAGCGGTGCCTCGATGTAGATGCAGACTCTTCAACACTCTTCAACTCTTCGTTTCCCTTTCAAGGCGAATTCGCTTGATGTTTTTGTGATCTTGGCAGGCTCTGAAATTAATATGTGCAGCAAACGAAAGGCGACTGCAGGCACCGAGGATGCACAAACAACCACGCTGTTGGATTCTTCAGCCGTCATGCAGGTCGACGATTTCGTGCTGAGTTCTGCAAATTGCGCCCTGTCCTCCTCCGCACGTTGGGTACTTTCCTCGACTTCGGTTGCCGAAGTCTATTTCGTGTGCAAACGATGGTGGGGCTCCTAGGAATGGGCGTTACGCCTTCTGCTTGCTGGCTCTTCCCTGGGCTTTCGGGACATGAAGCTAGAGTTGGAGGCACGTCGCAATACGTGGCATGGGTTGAGCTTAAGCAAGCTCTTGACTCCCATGCCAGAGGCAACTGCTTGCGGTGCATCAGCCATGGCACTGCAACGAAGCAGCAGCTGGGAAGAGGCAGCAGCCTTTTCCTTGCGCTCAATCTTCCTTGCAAATGAGTGCGACCAGGCTCTCGGCCTCTTGAATCAGCAGCTCGTTTATTCTGGAGCTTGTCTACATGTGTCTACACAATGATTTCACCAAGACAGCCTTTGGAAACAGCTGAGAATGCTCAGGCTGCAGCACAGTGGCTGCCAGGGGCTAACAGTGGTCACTTGCACAACAGCTGCAGATGCGTGCAGCCGGGGCCTTGCAATGACAGTATACGTTTGCTCTTTTCTATCTGCGGCTTTGTGTCAGTGTTGGTGGTATTCATTTCTCTGGAGGTAGCAGAGAGAAATGGATGGAGGCGCTGCACATATTGAAGGCGACCGGCCCATAAGAGTCACAACTCTTGTTTGATCGCTTCGTATCTTCACCGTGAAACCTCCGCGTCTGGCTTGGTGGGAGAGGCATTATGGAGCGACTAGATATGTCAAGGGCGTACAGGGCTGTGGAGTTAAACATGGATCGGGCAAAGCCCATCCGAATGAGGTGAACGTTGCTCCAGTTTGGAGCTTCCAAGCACCCAAGGCGTGCTGCCTCAAGCCGAAGACCAAAAACACTACAGGGACAACTCGGCATAACAGAAAGTTTGGAATATTTGACATGTACGAGTACGTCAAAAGCAACTAGCGTTCATGAACTCGGGACCTGCCAAATCCTGCCATGACTTTTTGAAGATGCAGCGCAGCTTCTAGAGACTCTGCCTTGTGCGTTCTGACCTCACAGCACACGTTTCGCACACATGCCAAGTTCACAGGCTTTGTAATTGGGGTTTTGGGCCTAGAAGGGTCGAAGTTTCGAAGTTTTTAGGGATGATCCGGGATGATGTGATCGGTTTTTGTAATTCTTGGGTTTATCATTCGGGCTTCGGGGTTCAAGAGAAACCCTCCCCTGGGAAAACCAACATCAAGCCGGTTGCAAGCTCCTACCAAAAGCTGCATGAGAATGAAATGGGTCGGTTTTGTGGCCTAAATCCCCAAACCCTAAGCATGTGCTTCCGAAGATCCCACAGCCTTCGCCCGAAACCCAGATATCTCAACATCCTAACGGTCCTAACGGGTGAGCTGCTCTGGGTTTGGAGTTCGAGGATGTTGGAGGTCTGGGGCTTTTAGAGTTCGGGGCCCTGAAAATATTTTGCGCCGCTCCAGCGCTCGTGACTGTACCTGGCATTCAGGAGTTCGAGCACTGGGGATTTGATTTCTACTTGTCTCGTAAGTTGGGTTCCAAGTTTAGGTGTCAGGTGTCTGGTGTGACGGCCTTTTGATAGATGTTTCCAGGATGGGGCTGCGTGTAGGCCTCCGGCGAAAGGCCGCTCCTTCTGCCCCCAAGTTTGGTTTGCATGGTGCTGCCAAGCCTCATTGCTTGTAGCAAGCTTTATATCCAGCGGTTCACGCGGCTCAGCACATGTTTGCATCCGCAAGGGAGGCTGGGGGGTGGAGCGGGGGGCGGGGGCGAGGGGGCGCGTGCGGACCAAGCGGAGGCGAGCGTGAATCATGCGGAGAACAAACTTGCAGTCAGCTCATAGGTGAGAAGCGCCGAACAGGGGATGACGCTTAAATCACGAAAGCTAGCCTCGGAGGAGCTAGCGGAGTATCTTACCTAAGCGAAGCTTACAACCAGATAGGTATACAGGGCCCCCGGAGGCTCCGCCACGAAAAGCAGCAGACCCGGTTGATTTCCGGTGCCCAAACGCATGTTTTTGGGGAAACGGGCTGGTGTTCATTTCTTTTGTATATTGGTGCAAATGAACACCGTTTTCTGCGGATCCCAGGGGGTCCCATGTCAAGCAACGGCCCCCCCACTGTACGGTTCCTCTGGACTCCTTATGCTAGCCGAATTCCGACCGTTCTTGCACACTGCCCAGCCTTGGCGCGCGGTAAAAAACTGACACGGCCTGCTGACTTTGCGTGTGCCTGCTCGGCTGCACGCCTTCGTTCCTGGTGAATGCTCTTCCGTCGGGGTACCTTAACTAGCTTGCGTCCCAGGTCCTCACCCCCAAGTCAATGGTGTATCGTTGACTTGGCCGGTGTGCCTGGTAAAGCCCGAAGTGGTCACCAATTTTATTGCAGACAAGTCGCTCGATCTGGAGGTTCTGAGCTGCTCAAGAACGCAGACTGACGTAGTTGCGCTTGGACCAGCACTTGAAGCATCTGGTGGCCGCCTGATGAGCTCCAGAAGACTTGCGAAGACAGCTGCAGATGCATGCGCCCAGGGGCTGGCGGTCGGTGGCAGCATGCGTTACAGTTGCTGCAGAAGGCTTGACGCTTGTTTGGGAGATCTCTGTGGATGTTTCTGTCTCATGCCCAGCAATTTGGGAAGGCCCGCCTTGCAAGTATCTTGATCAGCAAGATTGCCTGCACCATGGCTGTTACTGCCGTCGGACAGGCAGTACGAATGTATTCAGAACTGTTGAAGTGATCTAGCCGCTGCGGCTGTGATAGGCTTCCAAGCATTGGAATTGGGCGCTGCTGCTTTTGCAAGATCCTCTAGGCGGGTGAGTAGGCGGGTGAGTTGGCAGGTTTGGCAGGTTTGGCATGAGTCGAAGCTTGTGACACGTCTTCTTGGTGCAGGCCAGGCCGTGCAGCCGGATACAGTGGCACGGAACGCGGCAGGAAGCTGATAAATCCGATGCACTGTTCTGACGCACGACCTTGTGGTGTTCAATGTTAACTATCGTGTGTGTCTGATACATGTTGTATGACTGGTGGCCCTGCTTGAGGTGGTCTCGTCACTAAGCTCTGGCAATTGCTGGGCTTGAAGCTTATGATTGTCGATCCATAGGTGAGATCACAACATGATGCAGACCAAACCTATCTTGAAACACAGGGAGGGAGGGGCAGTGAGAAAAATGGGAACGTTTCGTGTTTCGGACCCCCAGTGCCGTCATGACTCATGTCCCGTTTGGCCTCCCACAGGATTTCTTCGCCCGATCGCGGCCGCCCCCGAAAGTTCGAGTACTGCCCGATCGGTGCTCATCCAGGAATCCACCGAATATTTAGGGTACCCCAAAAGGGATCAAAATTTTGACAACCACCCATATAGCTTCCTGCTTCGTCAATCTTCACGAGTTCTAAACAACTTGAATCGCTCCGGTTCGGTACATTCTGTTTGGAGTCTTCGTTGGCATAATCTCTCATTTTCATGTCATTTTCAACTTCCTCGACTGCCAAGTGATCGAAGCATGTTGAAGCCTTGGGAGCCGGCCCTTTCAGAAAGAAACCCGAGACACACAAACGGCCCCGGACGGATCGTGAAAAGCAAGCACGGAACAGAGTGAGAGGAGTGAGAGGCGCTATATCGTCATTCCAAGTGATTCATTTTGGCAAGTGAGATGGGCTTGCATGCTTGGTGGGAGTCTCCGCTGTATGCTCTTGCTGAGGCGAAGGCCACCCAACTTCTCGATGAAGTTGCCCAAGGTGCACAGGCACCAGACTTGCCTATGGCAGTGTGAGATCAGAGAGCAACGCAGCGCAGACAGGTTGTTTAAGCTTGCGTGAAGGCTGGCCTTCTCCCCACGGGGTTCCAAGCCCAGGGAAATCAAGGTTATCGACGCGATTAGTGCACGATTCCAGTGTTTAATCTTTCTTCATTGCTGGAGTCACTGCGCCACATTCAGCTCACACTTTAAGGTCGTTGCCCGGCTATGCTGCTGCAATTGTGGCATGCACCCAGGATGAGCACTGGAACCAGGCCCCAGCATCGGTCATTGCGCGACATTGTGCCGTTGCACCGTTGCAGGCACTTGGTGTTCTGGACGGTCTGACAAGTGGCAGACTGCTGCCAGATGTTGTAAGCTGCGGCCTGCAGCGTGGTTGCGAGAAGCTGTAAGAGTCATCATTGAGATCCGCTCTTTTTCTGCAACCTTCCATCCAAGTCCGGTGCTTCTTAGGCTGTTGATGGCTGGCCACTCAGCTTCTTGTTGCTTGTATCGCTGCTTGGGAGCCTGCTTTTTGAAACTTATCGCGCTGTGTTTTTGTCTTTTCCTCCCTCTCACTCTCCTTTCAGCTTTGAGGAGTGCGAGCAGCAAGGCCTTGTGACGCGTGAGGCCGGCCCCGCATGCCGTGAAAGAAGATAAGGGAAGCGAAAAGATACTTGAACATAAAGACATTCATGCATATGTGCATGTGTCACACTGCATATTGGATGCGACTGGGAGAGATACTCCCTTGCCCACGGATGTCCAGGTGCCAATTGGTGAACACCTTGTGTTTGCTTCGATCCATTTAGATCCGATCACGCTTCATCCTTTAGCAACAGGTTACCCCCAAAAAGGAAAAAGGTCAGACCACCACCCGCCCAAAACGTGGGGATAATAACATCACGGGCAGCTCAGTCTCAAAACGACGGACTCTGTGAGAGAGAAGGAAAGAGAGAAGGAAAGAAAGAAGCAAAGAAAGAAGGAAAGAAGGAAAGAAGAAGGAACAAAAAGAAGGAAAGAAAGAAGGAAAAACAGAAGCAAAGAAAGAAGGAAAGAAAGCAGGAAAGACAGAAGGAATGAAGGAAGGAAAGAAAGACGGAAGGAATGAAATAAGGAAAGAAGGAAAGAAGGAAGGAAGGACAAAAAGGAAAAACGGAAGAAAGGAAACATGGAACGAAGGAAGGAAAGAAGGACGGAAGGAAGGAAGGAAGGAAGGAAGGAAGGAAGGAAGGAAGGAAGGAAGGAAGGAAGACAGTCAGGAAGGAAGGCGGGCAAGCAGGAAGGAAGGAAGGGGATAGACAAATGCGATTGAAAACATGTATGTATAAAACCTTAGAGGAGCCACAAGCCCGAAGGCGGTCGCGTGTCACAAGCTTCGGCGACAAAGACACGATACGAAGACCAGACGCATGGCACGAGGACGAAGACACGACGCAAGCATACGATGCGACACGGGGAGAAGTCGCGAAGACATGCATGACACGACATGACATGACACTCGACACACTGCCATGATGCCAGCCAAGAGGCGACAACATTACGAAAACATTGCATGAAGACACGACACGAACATCGGAAGCGAAGCTGCCCCACCGCACATGGCACAAGACCGAAGCACGGCAGAGCAAACAGAACATGGCGCGAAGACACAACGGCATTCTAAAAGACACGAAGCCACGACAGGAATCCTCGCTCGCATGAGATGCAAGGCACATGCTCACGACATGCTCATCACATGTGGTACAAAACTTAGTAGAGGAGACAGAGGAGACACCGGAAGTGCGGAGTGCACAGTTCCGTTGACGTAGTTTGCGGGCCAGACGTAGTTTACGGGCCAAGCCTGGATAGTGCCAGTGAAAAGTTGGGAGGATGCCTTTGAAGAGGTGGTGAAAATATATGAAATCCCTGAAAAAACTTGTACTTTGCAGAAGTGGGTGCTTGTGGACCCCAATACTGCGCAGACTTAGACTACTAGCTCAGGTCCTCGAGGTTCCTGCGCTGCAACAAGTGGAAAACGATGCAGTATAGACAGTGCCCGCATCGGCGACAACTACAGCCGCCGTGCGACAGTCTTCGACGCTTCGCGAACCGATGCCGAAACACAGGATTCCGCAACTAGAGCCACCGCGCAGACGCGTCACATAGTGATGCCAAGTTGGAGGCTTTTCTTTCAACATGCAAGATACGAACAACGATGCACCGCCATGTATTTATTCTATGTGCTAGTTTCGGCAGACGTCAGATGATGTCAGATGCTTGCTTGGCAGGTCGAGCTTTTGAGCCAACTTGCAGAAGTGGTACAGCTTTCTGAAGTGCAGGCAGGGCGCCTTTCGTTGTGCAACTTGCATAGATCACATGATCTGGGCAGGTCTTCGATGATCCGTTGTTTGCAAGTCAGACCGGAGTGCTGCAAAAGAAAGGGACGCGCATCGCGCCATGTCCGTCATACTACGCTGCCTCTGCCACGCTGCCTGCCAAATACATGTCGAAGATCTGCGCAGGCCATGACGCACTTGATGGAGCAAACGGACCGAAGCATCTCCCAAAGAGTGGAGGGTGCGCAGTCACCACCGCTTGCATCAAGCTGTGCCTACTGTGTCTTGTTGCATCGTTTTCTGATACTGGGCTCCAGCAGGGGATAGCAAGGGTAGACATGCCACGCTTGAGTTAGTTTCTTCATGGGAGGGGACACAACCTAGATAAGTTTTTCTACACTCATCTTTTGTGATGTAGCGCTTTTTCAGGACAAAGGAAGCGAGGAATCATTTGCGATTGTCTTAGCCTCTTGTCACGGCATCCAAGCAATGACCTCATCTCGGAGGCACTGATGTCTTGGACCAATTGGTCGGGCCTCTTTTGACGTTCGCTGTAGGGATTTGTCGAGTGTTTGCTAATGGCATTGCTGACTGAGTTTTCAGGCGAGATGGAGAGTCGTTGGCTTTCGGCACCTTGTGTGCCACCCTCTGGAGCAAGCTGTTGTTTCGCCATCGTTATGCTGGGTGCATGTTCTCGGCCCGAAAGGCTCTTGGCAGGTTTGTGATTTTCAGCTTTCTCTGTGTGTGGGGCACTTACACCGTAGTCTCAGTGCTTGTGTAAACAAGCTTGCAATGAAGCATGGGCTAGATGCTTTCAGCTCGTTTCAGCGAGCAAGAGGCTGTGAAGTATGCAGCAGCGCAATCCGAGGTCCCTAGCAGAAGACCTGCAGCAGTTGTGCCGCGCTTGGCAATGGCGTGTCTGTGTTTTGCTGTTGATTCTGTTACGTTTGTTCCATGCAGGTGCTCAGACATCCGTCTACAGCAGCTGCGAGCAGACCTTTGGCAGGCTTATGAGGCTGCAGCACTGTCGCATGTGATGCTTGATCGGGCTTCGCGGGGGGGGGGGGGCTTGTTCAACTGACCTCTGTGATACTGCATCTGGATACTGCGTATTGGGGCCCTCTGAATCACTTCACGGCACAAACGATGCTTGTGGATTGTGAATCAGCAGAGTCACCTGTCACAGATGTCGTGATGTGCTCGCACATCATGGAACATTCAGCTGTGCAGCAGTGTTAACGACTTGGACATGCTAGCTAACAACGTGAAACAATTTGGCCGTCGAGGTTGGACGTGTGTTGGCGAGTCCTGCAAACCTGTGGCCTTGCACATTCCCGGCATCACGGCTGAGCCTTTGCTTAGCACAGCGAGAATCGACCGTTCAATGACTGCTTGGCGACACGTTCCCGCTCTCTCCCGTTGCATGACTCCACCGCACCTGAACCGATCTGCATCTTGGTCTTACTGCCAGACCATGTGTGACATGTCAGTGTGCCGCCCTTGATGTTTGACGTGCGTCGGCTTGCGAATTTGCTGTTGCTGGCTGTCGTTGGCGGTCGTTGGCCTTTGCCCCACTTGACAAGCTTTAAAACCCAAGGTCTTTTCCAATGCGTTGCGTTGTGTTGCTTTTGGTTTCGGCCCGTTGCGTTGCGCTCCATCCGGTTCTGTTTTGTCGTCGTGGTGCGTTCTGTTCTGTGCATTCTCCTTTCCGTCCTCGCGCGCTCCACTCCATTCCGTTCTGTTTTGTTTCTCTCTTTTCGCTTCGGTTTCTGGTGCAATGTTTTGCCATCTTTGGCCTGCTCAGTCCTGCTTTCTAATCGCACCGCTGGATGAGCCTGTGTCTTTCTCATCTTTTCCAGCTGACATCACACGCCCGGAGCGTTTTCATCCCATAAAGTAAGGTCACGTGCTTACTCAAAGATGATCGCTCCGGCATGGTGATTCCCAAGCATTTCTCACGCACTTCCGACTATGGCTCAAAGATTTGATACAAAGCCGTGTTCAACAAAACTTAAAAGCTGGGTTCCTTCAAGAAGCAGCATGCGGCATGTCTAGGAAACAGGTAAGTGACCTGCCGACACAAACCTCCAACCTTCATTTTTGTGATGTTGCAGCTCGAGAGAAAGCTGCAGGTGTGTGACGCCAAAGACATACGCGCCCCCTTCAAATCTTGCGTTGCTCTCAGATGCAGTCAAGCCGGACGAGCTCCTTCGTGGTCTTTGCTTGTGACTGGTTTCAGTGCAGTGCTGAGGTCTGCCACATCGGGTCTCTTCGACCTGTTTGTTCGTTTGGTCGCACATCCTGATAGATGTTGCCTTCGCTGGAGGTGTCAGAGCCACTCGCTTTCTTGGCACAGGACATTCAGACATTCAGACAGCACAAAAGGCGAGCGCAGGCTCTTTGGGCTGAGACTTAGAGGACATCGTGGAATCGATGTTCGAAATCTTTGATGTGGAGAAGGTGCTTTGATGGTTTTTTTTTGAAAGGGTGTGGGGCTGTTGGGCGCAAGCATGTTTTGAGTAGGTTGATGTTTCCGAGCTGCGCCACCTACACATAGATTGCCTCGAAGGGCTGCTCCCAGACTGATTTTTAGAAGATGTTTTTTTTTGGTTTTTGATGGTCGCGCTACTGTAGTTTCGCAAGACTAAGAGCGCACTGCTTGATTAGGATCAACGCGCTGGCTGCTTTTGCACGGCCTGTGCTGCACACGAACCGTGGCCAATGGGCTGCCGCCATCTCAGTTTCCGGGGGATATTGAAGCCTTGTATGGACAGGATGTTGCGTGATGGCTGGTATAATCTGGTATACCTCGTCAATCCTTGTCAGTGATTTCAATGCTTGGCTTCGCCGAGTCGGGAGCATTCGCCTTTTTGTGCAGGTCGACTTTCGCATTTTTGCAACTTTCTGAACCTCATCGAAGGTCGATCTTTTGTAGCTTGATTGTGTTTTGCCCTCATCTCATCTGGCAGCTTTCATATGCGCCTAAGGAAGCTGAAGCTGTGTTTGCGTAATTCCTGCTGTGCTTTTCCACGGTCTCCGCTCAGAGGCTGCTCACGAGGTTCATGAGACGGAGCCAGCCGACGCTCACGTCGTGTGCATAACCCGATGACTCTGCAGACTCCGTGAACTGCCTAAGTTGGGAAGGCGGCGAACATAAGCTCGGGCAATGCATTTCGCACAATGTCCTGCCTGCTCCACAAAAGTGGGAATACTTCTGCAACATTCTGTCACCCTCTGCACAGCCAGACGTGAACGCGGCAACAACATGCAAGAACTGCGTTGTGCTGTTCTCATAGAGGTGGCAGTTGCGAGTGTGAGGTTGTGCAAACAGGCTCATCTTGGTTTCCAAGGCCGCTGTCTCCTTTAACTTGGCTTCCGCTGGCTGCTGGCCGCTGCATGGAGTTGGCAAAGCCACTCCAGGCTGGAAGCTCGAAGCATCTCGAAGTCCCCCCAAGACAACCTCTCTGAGCTGTGCAAGATCACGTGCTTTGCTGTTTTCAACCAAAAGCGCGGCATGTGATCGGCCCGTTCGGATTCGATCGCGAAACACAGGTGCTGACGCACGGGGGTGTGAGAGCTTGTGGAGAAGGGAGTGAAGAGGCAAACAATGAGGGAGAACGATGCCAGTACGCTTCTAGCTGGGTGAGCGGGACTGCTGAAGGGCAGGGAGTGCAGTCGCAAAATTCTGAATTACAACATGCACATGCAGGCCCGCAATTATGCCCGCCTGCATGTTGGCTGATGCATATTCTTTCTCGAAACGCACCGCAGTCACGACAGCTGCCATGGGTCTCATCGGACGAACCTTGCAACACTGTTTGATGACAAAGGGGTGTTGTAACCACGACAAGGTTTAGGGAGCCAGGGCAAGACATGTTGGGATGCAATCGCAGAACGCCCCGACGTTTGAATAATCTTGTTTTAACGTGTACTTGCAACAGATAGATCTGATCAGTGTGATCAGTGTCTTGACGCTCCGGGTAGGAAATTGGGTAACTAGCCACGGTTTACGCTGATGCGTTGCCCCTCTGCAACAGCCTCAACTTTCATAATGCAAACGAGAGAGATATGCACTGTCCAGAGATCAAGTAAATGGTCACGCCAGGCACGTACCGTAACTCTCTTGTCGAAGAGGAGCAGGAATCGGTTGAGACATAAGTAGGATGATTGGAATGTTGTATGAGGTTATGCTGTACGACAAGAAAAGCATGTTCCACCCAAAAGTGCTCTACATCGAAATGCTTTTGCGCAAGACATGCATCACTCCGCTACCGCTCAACATAAATGCTTCACACAGATGCAGACTCTTAGAGACTGAGAGAGCCTCTTCAGTGCTCCTTTCCTCATCTTTCCTCAAACCCGACCTTTGCAATCTGTTTTTTGTCTAAGGCCCGGGTTGGCCGGTCACGTTTCAAGATATTTTGGCTGGCCACTGAGTTCTACTGACCTTCCCTTGACTGACGCTGTGAACCGTGCGCCTCTTTTGAGAATCTGGCACTTTCTGCCGAAGCTTGGCGTGACTTTGGTGATGAGGCCCGAGCAAAATCCCTTGAACATACAGGGCACATGCGGAGAGAGAGTGCACCCATCGCTTTCTTGACTTGTGCTTGACTTGTGCTTGACTTCTTGACGTCTTGACGTCTTGACGTCTTGACTTCTTCACTTCTTGAAGGCGGAGTTCAGCTTGCCTTCAAGGAAGCTCATGCCCTCGGCAATGTTGAACAGGTGGGTGCAAGTGTCAGTCAGTCAGTCAGTCGGTCAGTCGGTCAGGTAGTCAATCAGGCAGTGTGTGCTTGCGTGTTTGTTTGTTTATCTGTGCCTGTCTGCAACTTGTCCGCAAATGTCTGCAGCTGCTTGCTCCATGGTTGCACTCGGTTGCCCCGAGGCTCACACCGGCCAAGCCGGCAGGCCAGTGATAGCCCGCATGCTGGCGGATGCCAGCGGATGTCAGTCGTAAGCACAACTCCAAACTCCTGCAGGTGAGGCGAAGGTGCCGAAAGAACTTCCAACACGCTTGACCGTCCTCAGCACTGGGCCAGATGCCCTAGATGCTTCTCGCAACTCAGGCTTGCTCGATGGAAGCGATAGTTGTGATGCTGTTCAGGCATCATGCGTCTTATCCCGTTGCTATCTCTGCGATGTGGCGGGCGCTGCTGCCCAAATATCAGATTCAGATTGAGGAGTGGCGGCATTCTTTGCAAGAGCTTTGCAAGAGAAAGGGTTGCTGCGAGGGCTAATGAGAGCTTCAAGCCTCAGCAACGTGCCAGTCGCCAGGATCACTCCTTTGACGACCGGTATTGCCAGCTTCATGGCACTTGTTCTGCCGACAGTCGCTTTGCCTGGTCGGCAGCTTAGAGCGGACAGCTGCTGAGACAAGACCCAGTGCCTGGGTTTCGTTTGACCCAAGTCCAAGAGAGCACTCATACAATATCTCGTGAGACGTGATCCATGCGCCTATTGATGGACAATGGTCTGAGGCTTGGCGAGCACCTAAGAGGAACACTGGTGCGCACATGCGGCGGTCACTATCTCAAAGGTTTTCAGGCTTCACATGGCTTGAGTGTGATGGGCTGTCATGGCTGATCGGCATGATGGCTGGTCTCTCTTCACTCATACTTGATCACAGGACATCGACTCTTTGGCAGAGCAGCTGTTCGAACTTGTCGTGAAAGGCAAGCCGCGAGTTGTGACCTGCCCACCAAGACCCGAGCTGTATACCTTGCCTGCTTGTTGCAACCAGAAAAGAATGGAGGAATCTTGAAACGCTGAATACGCATACCTTGATGTGCTAACTATCTACGCAGCGCGTGTTTTGCTCTCGTGTTGTTTGGGCCATGCCCGAGTCGCCTACCACGTCTGCCAGCGGTTTGTGTTGTTCAGGTGAGGATAGTGCATTCAGGGTTCCATCTTGCCTAAACTGTGTTGTCATGCAGTTCGTTGCGGGTTTGATGTGGCTTGAGAGCCCAGATTCGGCCGCACACTTCGTACTCAAAGCATGCTTCAGAAGCTTGTGTTGTAACATCATGTTACTAACACGCGGTAGCTACACGAATTTCACGAGTCGGTCGACCATCAGGCCTCAAGACCTCTCAGTCTGCTCTGTCAGCCCTTGGAACATGGAGCTTTTCCAGAGAGACACCACAGTACCACTTCGTGGGATGTGCCGGCAACACCTTGCCACGTCCTTCTTTCTTCTGGCGGCCAATCTCCACATCATTTCATGTCACCTTGCAACAATCCAAATCTGCATGCTTCTGTTCGGTTCATCGTTTCTTCGGTTTTTGCACTGCCCGAGAGGGCTGCAACACAGATGAGAATCGGCGAACATATGTCAGCATCATGATGAGGGGCGGGCTTAACATATCCACACGAGTTCGGATGGGGTGGGAATCATGAGATCACCGGCGGGGGCTGCGCCATTCTAATGGAAGATCATGTCGAAATTCACATGAGTCAGTTCAGTGACAGTCAGAGCATCGGATGCGCTTTGTGCTGGTGCTCGAGCCGAAAGTAGTTTGACACAGAGTACACAAGGTGCATACGAGGCACTGGGCCCTGTCGAAAATAGCATTCACATGCACAGAGACGCACGTCAGGATTGCCGCATGTTTGAGGGAACGTGACAGGACATGTTTGACCTCGCGTGGCTTTGCATGAGCCTTGACAGACTCCTTGGCATCACGCGCGGACGTGCTGCTATGTGACCTCCTCAAGTCTCCGCAGACGGTTGCAGCCAAGAAATCACACCAACAGCCGAGGTACCCACCCGCCTTACTCATGCCGCCTTTTCTGGCCTTTCGTGCAGCGCCTTGGCTTGTGCCGCGCTAAGGTCAGCCTATTGCCTCGCCCAACAGCTTCAAGTTGCAAACGATGCATGTGGCTTCTGAGACCTCTGCTGGGATTCTTTGGAGGCACCTTGGAGGCGGACCTAGCACATCAATTGGCCAAGCCTGTGAGAGCAAGTTTCGATGACATTGCTGTTGGCAACCTTGTTGGCGTTCTCGGTAGTAAGGCACATGTTCCGGAGGAGGGGATGACCGCTTGGCTGCATGACTTCCGTGCTATGGCATCTGCCCGAGTGGAACAGCACGTGCATGTAACATGTATATATCCACATATGTTTATATGTATATGTATATATAGATATAGATAGATAGATAGATATATATATATATATATATATATATGGGTGGTACCCCCCCGTCTAAGAAAGCCAAGCTGCAGTACGTCCAGATGCAACTGACAGCATGTTAGGTATATACATATATGTGTATACACGATATTATCTATGCTACATAAGTTTATGTTCGTTTTGCTCATGATGCATGGCGCAGTGGGAAGAGTGTAAGGCCAAACTCACGGCGCTGTGCGGTTCTGCGAATCTGCGTTTCCTCGAGAAAATGCAGATTTGAAGATGACCCCCCCCCCCCTCCATGCCACAGATCAACTCGGACGGTAGCCAGAAACAAATCTACAAATCTGCGAATCTGCGTTTCCTCGAGAAAACGCAGATTTCCAGAGTTGAAATCTGCTTTTCCTCGAGAAAACGCAGATTCGCAGATTTGAGTTTTTTCTCGATTAAACGCAGATTCGCAGATTTGCCTCTCCATGTCACAGATCAGCTCAGATGGTAGCCTGAACAATCTGTTATTCAAATAGGGGCCTTCACAAAACCTATTTAATTCGGGGAGGAGAATTACAAAATTTAAATGTTTAAATATAGAGGAGCCTTCATGTTTATATAGGGGCCTTCATATTTAAGGGAGGGAATTAAATATGTCTAAATAATTTCAATAATTTGCAGAATTTAAGTCCTGAAAGGGGGTCCTAGTCCGCACGCCAACGTCCCCTCCCGTAAATGATTTCAATCTGAGGGGGCCTTCAGATTTAAATGGGGGCCTTCATATGTAAAGTGTGTAATTTCTTTACTTCCAATTCCTCCACTAAAAAGGAGCTGCCCCCCCCCCCTCCCCCCCCTCCGGGATTTCAATTATTTGTATTATTTACATTACTATGTTTGAAACATTTAAATCGCATCCAGGCTTCTTGGCCTCTAGCCTTCTTAGAAAGAAGGGTAGGACTAAAGACGGTGGAAATTCCGACTTTTGCACTGCGGTCGCCCACGGCGAACGCGAATTGGGGAAGTGGGACGAGAGGGGCAGTGGTGCAGTGGGGCAAGTGAGGCATGTGGGGCAAGTGGGGCAAGCTCGACCAAGCTTGGCCCGTGCTCGCCCTGACTCAATCCGGGCCGTCTTTGGGGCTCACGCCAGCCAAGTCTGCCTCAATCCGGCTTTCTGAGGCAGACTTGTGGCTCCATTTTTCCCTTTGCCGCCCCTACCCCCACCCCCATCCTTCCCCGAGCCCTCCCCCCTCGCCTCTTCCTTCTCCGAGTCACTACTATAAGTGGGGCAAGCGGGGCAAGCGGGGCAAGCGGGGCAAGCGGGGCAAGCGGGGCAAGCGGGCAAGCGGGGCAAGCGGGGCAAGCGGGGCAAGCGGGGCAAGCGGGCAATGTCGTTTTCCACCAGGGGGCCAGAGCAAGTGGGGCAAGCGGGGCAGTGGCAGTAAACACTTAGCTGTGCAGCTTTGCACGCGCACTGAGTAGGTTCGACTCTTACTCTTTTTACTCATTATGCGGAATTCATGATTCAACTTGCGATGACTTATCATGATTGTTTTGTACTGCGATGACTACTAGTCATTTCCAAGAGTATGCTTTTGTGAATATGGCTCGTGTTATTTTACGACTCGTCGTCGTCGTCGTCGTCGCAAAAAGGCTCTTTTTCAATTTTTGCAGTTTTCAGGCAGGGCACTAAAGTGCCTTGCCCCTCGCAGCTATTGCATCTGACAGTAGGAACTGAGCAAGTGTGAGGAGTCAGTGGATTGCACAGGTGCATGCGTGTGCTGTCTGCACTAATGTGCAAACTTGCGCGTTTCGGTTCGCACACGGTTTCCAAATGCGAGGCACAAGACCCCCTTGTGCAGTTCGCGGCGATTGCGCCATTCTTGGCCGAAAAAATGCGCTATCAATCTGGCTCAGCACTCAGGGATGGATGGAGGGTTTTGTGAAAGGCTGCTGGTTTGTGCGAGTTTGAGCACAGACTGGGAAAACTGTGTGTTCTGCTCAGGAGTTGACATCCCAGCCTCACGTGGCTTTGGCTTTCATGTCATCGAGTCGCGGCCTTTGCTTGCAGCGTTGCGAGCTGTGATTGTTGGAAATGTTGTAAGCCCATGAGATGAGCCAGAGTCACATCGTCCGAGTCTCCGCGCGATCGTTTCGGGCAGGAATCTTCACTCTGTCTGTGTGCGCGCGTGCATGGCTAGGAAAGATGCACGCTTCCGTAGCCAGCGCATGCTCCTTCGGCTTCCAATGCGGTGATTTGCCGAGGCAGGGAGGCAGCTATTTTCCAAGGATGCTGACAGCCTTGGTGTGCTGTTGTTGTTTGTGGTGCTTTTGTTGTGCTACCTGTGTGATCCCGTGTGCACTTTGCATTGGCATTGCTGCAGGAGATGGGATGAAGTGCTGCTGTGGAAGGGCAGCAGTGCCGTGCTTTGGGCAACAATCCACTGGACTGTCGAAGCACAGCTTGTGCATCCATCAACCATTAAGAAGATGTGAAGATGACGAGGTGAATGCGATGACAACAAGGCAGTAGACTCAGTATGACTCAGTACACAATGCTGCATTGAAGTCTCCTGACTCTGATTTCCCGGCCAGGAAGCCTTCAATGTTGCTATCAGCGAAGTGTCCAAGTCAGTCTCACAAGGTGCCTCGGCAATTTGAGCATACGTCTGTTTTGTTTTTTTTCCTGATTGGCCTCGTTCATCCAGGCCCTGAACCTTCAATAACAAGCGTATGTGTGAGCATCAAATCGAGCCTTGAAGCTTTTTCAGAGTATGGTCGCCATCGTTTACGTTTGCGAAGACACGAGCTTAGGCCCAGTGCTCCCCCCCCCTCCTCCCCCTCCTCCCCCTCCTCCCTTCCTCTCCCTCCTCCCCTTCCTCCCCCTCCTCCCCCTCCTCCCTTCCTCTCCCTCCTCCCTCTCCTCCCCGTCCTACCCTTGCATGCGGAAGGTAGCGGCTCGGACATCATCTTGCGATTCATGCATCTCCAATCCCTTCGAGAAAGCGCAAGCGACTCAGCAGAGCAAATGAAGTTGGTCTTCGACCTTAGCGTCGGAGATTGTCGGAGCAATGGAATCACAGGTCTGCCGATGTTAGAGGGTGGGGTCAGGCTACAAAGCATAGCCAAGTTTTGTAAGGCTCTAGGGCTCCGTCAACGAGAATGCAGATGAAGTGCTTGAGTGACACTTTTCCGAGGCTGAGGGCGCATCCTATTCCAGCATCACCTCTTTCCGGGCAGTTGTGTTTGTGCCCTACGAGGTGGCTTCGTGGCTTTGCGCTGTTTCAGAGTCACCTCCCATCTGCCATCTGGAAGAATTACCACCTTGAAGGTTCTGCTGATGACGTTTTACGAGCTCTACCATGCTGCCTGGTCCTCAGAATAATGATGGGTTCGTGGCTACACAGCCTGCTGCGAAGGCAATACCTCTCTTCATTCCTGAGAAGGACGTGAATTGATGTTAACATGCGTTGGCGATGTTAACGACCCAGAACTTTGTCAGTGAGAGCAAAATGGAACAACCAGGAGCTGGGAGTTTTTTTCATGTATCGAGGCCCAGTGCAGCAACCTTACTGTAGTGAAGAGAAGGGGGTGGAGCTCTCTTGAGCCATTCCCCAAGGACATACCCGCATTGTGATCTTGTGGTGTCCAACATGGATGTTGAGACAGGCCCGCAAACAGCCGGCATGTTTCTGATTGATCACCTGTCTGATGTATATAGGTCAGATGATGAGCTCTACAAGAGAGGCGGCCAATCAAACACCGAGTACACCACATCGCTGAAGTGGTAGTGAGCTGCGATGCTGCAGATTCATCCTTATTCCCCGTTCGACCGCAGCAATGTCTAGCCCTTATGGTGTCATGTGCTGGCAAGCCTGTCAAGTTTTAAGGTTGTGCAAATGGCGGCGCGAAGGTTGTGCATTTGGCCTTCAGAAGCCAAGGTGACGGCGAGGCTGTCCTGGCTGGAGGCAAGGCTTCAGTAGGCAGTGGAACCACTCACTGAATGGATGCGTTTGCTTTCTAATGTGAGGCATATACCGACTGGTATCGGTGGCCACACAATCAGTGCTTACCCCAGCAGCTCAGCACTAACCTCGCTTTCAAGCTTTCAACATCCAAGAACATCCAGTCTGCTTCAACTTTTGGCTCTAGATTGCTGTTATGAGAGAAGCCTGAGCCACAACTTTTCTCATGTCACGAAGCAGTCGCATGGACATTCGCAGTCGACACATTTGCTCATGTTCCCCATGTGTCGGCGAGCTGCCAAAGCCGCTTGATGCATGGCTGCGCAATCCCAGGCGGCGCTGACATGTGACATGTATCGTAAAGCGGCAGATGAGCAAGTGCAGCTCTCATGCGCATGGGCCAAGTTTTCTACAACTTGTGACCGACAGGTTCTCGTTCGACAGACCCAGTGCATGCCATTGCATGCCAATGTTCTTGAGTCATTGAGGAGGATGATGTGGCGACGGCCTCCCTCCTGCTCAATTCTGCTGGAATTCGGAAAAATTTGTTCCCGAACCTTGCCTGCAAGCAGCCGATCAAGGCCATCCTGGGCCTCGGGGGCTTCAAGGCCCCAGAAGCCACAGAGTGCCATTAGCATGCTCTAGCTTCTGTTTAAGCTCGATTGGTTACTTCCTCGACCTTTCTCTCTATTGCTTTCTTGTCCTTTCATCATCTCCGCTCTTCCGCTTCGTGCCTGCTCAGGAAGACTTATCACATAAAGCTCAGCAAAGGCAGGTTCTGGAGTCTGTTATCTAGGAATGCTAGGAGCACCTGCAACTGATGATGCAGCACTTGCTGGTCATGGGCAATTGTTGCCTTCGGCGGTAGGTAGATGCCTGGCGCCCAAACATTACTTCTGTTCAGTTAGAGGCTTCGTTGGCTACCTGATCTTCTTGACAGTATTTATGCATCTGGGCTGATTTTCTGATGCATGTTGTGTAGCATGATGGCAGCTGCGGACATCGTGACTTGATTCCATGATTGTCCAAGATTTGCTTACACCCTCGTTATTTATTACACACCACAGCCTCTTGGATGCAAGCAGAATGGGTAGACCATTGGTGAGGGCGTGTTGGTCACATTAGTCGCATGCTGCGCACAGCGAAGGCAGCATTCTAACCAAACAGGCGCACATGGGCTCATGTTGGTCCATGTTTGTCCAGATGAGCATCGAACAAGACTGCCTGAGCTTTGAGTCATTTGAGTGATTTGAGTTGTCAGGCTTGGCCTTCGAGCACTTGCTTGTCTTTGACATGGCATATGTTTCTCGACTCGGTTACAAGGGAGCACGGAGCCATAAGGGTTCGCAAGTATTCGTTGCCTTTTGGTATCTCAGTGTGGAGCCATCATCTTCTTCATTTTGATGCAAGTGCCCCGCAGAGTCGCTCACCTCTCAGATTTGCTCAATTTGATCACCCTCATGATGCCTTGGCTGTGCCGTCATCTGCCATGCAGCCGATAAGGTCAGGGAAAACCACAGCCTCCTGATCGTGTTTTGCTGCAGGACTGTGAGGGACAGAGTGGCTAAGAGGGTCTCGGTCGAGAGACTGTCGAGGACCAGAGTGGTGCCAATTGACTCGTTGGTGGAGATCCGAATAGTTCGCCGAAGACGATGCTGCGACAAGCAGGGCAGGTGGGAAGGCAGTTTTCGGCTAAGCAGAGGGGCCACTTTCTTCCAGATGCCTGGACTTTTTTGTCAGGCTGTGTCTTTATCCTGGCAAATGTTTCTGGGGCTATCCCACGAACTTTGACCAGAACATCATCGTTGTAACTGATGACTGCTGAACCAGGGCAGCACCGAGGGTTGCGATTCTGTTGCTGATCGCATTTGTTTTGATGGTTGCTGTTCCCGCAGGGCTGTTACGGACTGTTTGTTTTTTGCCAAGGTAACAACTACTTCTTCTGCCTCCACAACATGGAGGTTTGCTGTTCAGCTCAGCGTGCCCTTGCAGTGCCCTTCATCCTGTCTCTTGAGGAGTTTGTTTCGGACAATTGGCCATCACCAGATCTGGACTCGGAGGAGCCGGCGAAGGCCAGCAAAGGTGATGCTTGCAGTGATGCTTGATGCGATTCCAAGATTCAGTCCAGGTCCAACCAGCAATGATTGGCGTGGCTCCAAACCGTGCTGTGGATCCGAGCTGTTGACAGCTTCGTGCAGTTGAGACCAAGCGGCTCCCATTGGTAGTGCACATCTCACTCTGCAGCGACCAAATGGTGCTGGAGACATCCTGTCCCAAAGTTGTGACAGTATCAAGATGCCACCAGGGAGTCGGAAATTGGAAAATATGAAACCTCATCATGATCATGTTTCCATCCAGCTTGATGCCTGTTTGGCTTGAAAATTGACTCCGATTCTGGGGTGGTGATATGTTTTCATGAATCAGTGCTGCTCAGCAGCCGCCACTACTAGCTTGTCAGACAAGCTTGGAGGGTTGGCAAGACAGCGATCTCAGAGCCTCCTTTGAGGAGCAAAGCAGATTGACCCTTGTTTAGAACCTTGGACTTGCGTTGTCTGTAGGCGGTTGCAGAGATGTCTAGATGCTTGGCTGGATCAGGCAATACTCCTCCGTGGCTGACCTGGTGTGGAAGCTCTACGAGACAAACTTGCAGGCGCTGTGGTATCCTTGTTGCTGTAAGCCATGCTCAGCAAGCCAACTGCTTGCAAGGCGGTGAGTGCGGCAATGCGCTCGGAGACGGCCCTTGCCATGGCAGGTGGGACGCATGGTGACAACAGTGGGAATACCTACTTGTAGTGCAATGAAGGTGCAAGTGCCTTTTGGGAGGCGGCCTTCGACAAGGCACTTGTAAGGGTGACCCCCATAGGAAGAACGATAAGGATGTGAGCCATGTGAAGTGCCTTTGAAGGTCCTCACGGCTGCGAGCCGAAGTTCGATCTGAGCCGCGCTCTTGAACTGCATGGTGAAGTCAGCGGAAAGTTGTCGCTTCAGAGCTGGATGCGGCACCACATCGCTCCACCGATGCACTACGCCCTACACTGCACCGTGCCGCTCCGCACCGCACTGCGCTGCAACACCCGAGCACGCACGTACGCACGCAAGCATTCACGCCATCACGCACTATGCAATGCGCACTGTGCCGTTTCAATTCCCGCTCTCGATGCCGCCATCTGCTTGCTTGCAAAGTAACCAAGTCACTGACATGTTGCAATTATATGTATATATATATATATGTGTATGTATTGAAAGTTATTGGCAGCGAAAGCGTCATAGGAACCATGTACAGCTTGCAGGACAGACTGCGTCACAAAACGGGATAGCAGTGCTGGGAGGTGATCAGTTTCCACTTTCCCTTGTGATCAACACGCACACATCCTTCTCCAGCTTGCAGACATCAGGTCGCAAAGTCATGAATCAGGAGTAGCTTTGAATGCACACATCCTCGGGTAACTTTTCAGGCAACAATGTGGTTTTCGGTCAAGCTTTCTGTACGATTGGGTCTGCAGCGTCCGAATTGCTCTTCAAACTTTCACCCTACCCAGGGGTTCGCTGTCAGGCGATATGTCAGTGCAAAAAGAGCGTCCGTGCTCGACGCAGAAATATAGTTCTGGCTTATTCGACTCAATGTACATGGATCTGATATGCATTCTGCTCATCAAGGGCAGGATGCTCGACAAAGGATGCAGTGCACGCAAACGAGCGTTCAGCGGATTTGCCTGTGCCCGAATCCGCGGCCGGAGTGTGCGCGTGTCACAGTGTGAATACGGTTTTTCCAGTGCACACGTCGGTCTTTCCAGCACGCGAACCACCGCTTCATGCCTAAGCTAGCTTTGGCCTCTGCTATGCTTGCTGGGTATGCCACGCTGCATTGATTGCAACTTCTAGGAGGGCGTGGAGCACAGCGGCGATCCAGCAGTCAAGGCATCGAACTTTTCATGCTGATACTGGTTGAAAATTGAGCGGCATGTCGTTAAACCGTCGGTTTCTCGATCATCTAGGGAATCTAGGAGTGCCTGTATGTGCGTTCCTTAGCTGTATCCAGCTTGGCTCAAGCAGTGCTCATTTGCTTCTCAAGCAGGACAGAATTGAAGTTTCACTTTCAGTCAGTTTCGTGTGGTTACTACGATGTGCTTCCTAGCAGGACGGGGCCCACGATGGAAAGCATCCGACGAACCTTGGGTGGATGATTTAAGTTGATTGTCAATTTGTCTGCCAAGGGCACTGCGTAGGTGCGCCAACTTCGAAAACTGTCCCGCCGCAAGCGAAACGTTGCTCACTCAAGATCCACGAAGCTTCTGCAATACCTTGTTTGCCTTCACAACATCTGCCGAGAGCATCTAGAGCAGAACGGTGCAGAATGTCGGACGAACTAAAACAAGAAACGACATTCAGCCTGCATGCTTTTAGACAGTTGCTCGGCCACGTTGTGCCTCTTGTTCATTTTGCGAGAACCTGTCATAAGCTTTGCTGAGCTCTGTTGCGCTGGCTCCCATCAGTGTGTAAAATGGGCCCCTGGGCTCCTGCATGACTCGACATCCGAGGAAAAGCCATCGACACGCCAGTGCCGATGGACGACGACGATGACCTAGAGGAAGAAGAGGAGAACGCAGAATACGGACCCATCCGTCGATCAGGTGCGACATAGGGCTTGTGAGCAATAGTTGGCCTAAGTCTCGCACATGGACTCGGAACTCCTGTGAAGGTCAGTCATCTCAAAGTGGCATCGTGTTCCAGCCGACAGAAGTGGAGGATGTCCTCGTTGAGGCCATCGATGATGACACCAAGCTTGATGCCGAACCAGACTTGCCATACAGCAAGCCACAGTTTCCTGCTTTGACCCCGAAACTTGGGCAGAACGTTGCACCGATTTCTGCCGGACCTCCAGAGAAGCATGAACTGAACATGACCGAACGTTTTTGCTGTGAAGCTCAGGAAGGAACAGGGGGTAAAGAAGCAGATGCGCCGCATTGCGGTGCCAGCGCACAGGAGTCTTTCTCTGTTGAGCATCCTTGGATTACTTGAAGTTAAACCATTTCTAGGCCAGGGGGGTTGGGTCAGTGTTTATGCGCCAAGGGTGTGGATACGGTTTCAATATCCAATTGCCTTCACCGGACACCTCCCGAAGCATGCCACTTTTCAACTAGTTTGCCACGATCATGGATGACTTCAAAAGTCCGGAAGCAGCCTAAATGCCTAAAGAAGAAAGCCTAAGTTTTGTCACATCCACAGGATGACTCCTCTGAAAGCTGCTTGGGTTCAGCTTATCGAGCCAATCGTGGAGCACATGAAGCTGCAGGCAGGTGGCTGAAAGTCTGTTGCAATGCTGGTGCTGCTTCAAAAGTATGTCTTGCCCTGCAGGTGCGGATGAACACGAAGAGGAGAGCAGTAGAGATTCGAAACTCTGAGCACACACCTGACATTGGCTATCTTCAGAAAGCCTCAGACTACATGAAAGCCTTCATGCTGGGATTTGACCAGCCGGATGCGGTGGCTCTCCTCCGATTGGACGATCTCTTTATCCAGTCTTTTGAGGTGAAAGATGTGAAGCGACTACAGGGAGACCATCTGTCGCGATGCATTGGTCGTATTGCTGGCAAGGATGGCAAAACAAAGTATGCCATAGAAAATGCCACCCGAACACGAATCTCTCTGTGTGAAGATAAGATACACATCCTGGGCTCGTTTGCAAACATCAAGCTGGCCCGCGACTCCATTTGCAGCCTGATCCTGGGTAGCGCACCTGGCAAGGTATACACCAAGCTGCGCACAGTGTCTAAACGCTTGCAGGAGCGGATTTGATGTTCCATGTTGTCCATGTTGCTGGAGCGACTGCGCGACTGCAAAGCAGCAGTAGAAGACGCGGTCGCCTGCTTAGTTTCACCCAAGCATCTCAATCAGTTGGAAAAGAGCTGCGCCTCCATTCCTTCGAGATAAGCTTCCTGGCACCAAACTGACTGCATCTCAGCTGACCTTTAGCATGCCTGCCCGAATTTCTGGCTTTCCAGTGTTCTGAGAGGACATGTCTTGATGACGACCCAAGCCCCACATCATGTAGGATCTCTGAGTCTTCAGAGCTTCGAGCTCAATTAAAACCTTCGTTCATGTGTGGAAGCACTTCTGCCATGGGGTGCTGAGAGTTTCTGAGTTTCTGCGAATGGCAGTAGATCCTGCTGCGAGTGCATTTTTCAATCGGCAGAGAGAAGCGGACCCCGCAAATTCTGTTTGTTGCGATTGCGAAGGCCGCAAGGCCGAGTGGGCATCTGTCTCTCATGGCACGTATATTAGCATCGAAGCTTCCAGTATCCACCGCTCCCTGGGTGTGAAGACGAGCTTTGTTCTGTCTACCACTCTGGATTCCTGGAAAGACGTCCACTTGAGAATGATGGAGCTTGGTGGCAATCGGCGCTTTCGCGAGTTTATGCAGAAACATGTGCCGAAGGATATGCCACTCAGGAAGAAGTACTTAACACGTGCCGCAGAATGGTATCGTGCAAACCTGAAAGCCGAAGCTGAAGGCTTGACTCCCCCTGCACCTTTGGAACCTGGGACTGGCCACTGGCTCATTGAAGGCCAAAGTACTCAGGAGCAGCTCCTTGATCACATCTTTGCCGCTGCACCTGGATGCAACACCATGACGGCCGGTGGTATCTCCAAGAGCACGCTGGGCACGTCGGGCGAAGGCCCTCACAGGCGCAGGCTATTCAAACTGCTCGCGTCTTCTGATCAAGCGCTTCCCAACATTGTGCAATATTGTGCATCATGCACGTCCTGCTTGTCTACCAACCTGCAAATCCTATGCATGTAAATCTGGGGCATTGCCGGGATGTCAACACAAAGAGATTCCAACTTATGCGGGTGATCGCCATACAAATCTGAGGGATTTTTTCAGGCCAAGGCCCCTTCCGTGTGTTTTTCGTGATGCCACTAGCAGACCAGCACGTGAGTGAGTGAGCCCGCGCCTCCGCAGCAAAAATCCGCGCCGGAAAAACGACTTTGGGGGGTTGGGGGGGGGGGGGTGCCCGCCCCAAACCGCGAAAAGAAGCGCCCGAGGCCTCCGCACAAAAGGAACCTCTCCTCCATTGCAAAAAAGCGCGCCCGGCCTCCGCGGCAAAAAACAACACCCAGCATGCCTCCACAGCCTGGCAAAGAAAAGCCTCCCGGAAAGTCTCCACACACATCTCCACACAAAGTGGGATTCGGAAGGCGTGCGAGTCAGGGTGATGATGGGTTTATGCGGGAATCTCAACGGAAAATGCGAGCCCTGTTCATATTCCCAGTCCTTTGTCAACATAGGGAACCAAGTGACCAAGTATTCTACAAGCAGGCCTTCGACGAAGATAGGCACATTCGCATTCAGTTCTTCTTGAGCTGGGCCCGCGAGTGTCCTTCTTCTTCTCATTCTCAGAACCTCTCTCCCTCTCTCTCTCTTTCTCTCCGTGAAGGCATAGCGCTGCGATTCCTTCTTTTAATAGCAAATATTTGCGAACAAAGTTTGGAATATTCAGGCCAGAAAAGCTATTCCTGGATACGATGCCTTCTGGCCTCAACAAGTTCTAGCAGAAACCTATCAATACAGAATTGCCGAAAACGAAAAATCCTCTGCATGATTTATAGAGTTCATTCTTGAAGATAAGCGAAAAGCTCATGCTAAGCACAGGTCGAGTTCACGAAGATCGGTGTCAGAGAATACAAATGCGTCCAAATCAGCAGGGGCCCGAGTAAAACTTCGGGTGTCTTGCGCAGTCACCAAAGCTCGGCACTGAGGGTTTCAAGGACAAGCCGGCCTTCTCCAACTGGCCATGGCGCCAGGCGCGATGTATCATGTGGGTGCGTTTCTAACTTCAAAGATGTTCAATGCTCTGGCTGGTTGCAACTTGCACAGACCAGGCTGGCTGCGTCGCGCATAGATTGAAGAAGCTGTCCACTGGCAAGATGGACCGCCTTCGAATGAGAACATGGCACATGCCTGATTGTGGTCTGCAGTAGTGCTGTTGACGAAGTCAGGATGGATTTGGCTTCGATCCTGGTGAAACTCAGCGCCCGCCGGCAAGCATTAGGTAATTGCCGCCAGTACCTGCCTATTGCTCGCGGAATGGCTGGTGACCCGTCATTCGGACGCACAAATACACACACCTTCACTTTCCATCAGAGGAGTCGAGGATAGTCGAGGCTTCACGCAGCACAATCATCCTGTGCTGAACCAACTTGCCAGTATCCCGAGTGCAAGATCGAAGTCAATTCAATCCTAAAGTGATTGCAAGCGGGGAGAATCTGGAAAGCGTGGTCAAACGTGTCATTTCTGCCAGTACTCGTTGGCAGTTCGGAGGTCCGCCCGCTTCGAGGACAAGACCAACTTGAGCTTGTTAGCATCTCGAAAGGCGGAAACTGCCGAAACTTTTCTGCGCATGCAGAAGCTTCTGCATAGCTGCATAACCTTACGAGCCGGTAGTCCCATTTTCTTTCTGCTATGGGGAGTCTCCGTAAGGACGGGCTCCCTGATGCGGATGTTGAAGCCTCTCTAATGAGAGTTGTGGTGCATGCAGTGCGCTTCCCACATATGAATGGAGCAGCCACAGCAGCTGGTTCCCCCATTGTACAGGTCGGGTCTGCACAAGCCGCGAAAGTGCTGCAATAGAGACAGCCAGGATTGCGAAAAGAGCTGCTAGCAGAACCTGACATGTTGACAGTTACATACTATGAACCACTGTCAAGAAACGCGCAGCCAAAGCTTGAAGTTGCAGGTGATGCTGACGGTCTGGAAGCATTGGCGATTCACGGGTAAAACAGAGGACCTGTTCATGCCTATGAATCAGGAAACGCAATTAGCTTCGCTTTGCTTGGTGATCCTCTGCAAACGTCATGCGTTGACATGGAGCTCTGTGCGAAGAGAGTTCTGCTTCTGATGCGGTCCTTCTCCTTCTGGAGCTTGTGGGGCTGGAGGATGTCCATGGATCCAGGTTTTTAAAGGTGGTTTAGCGACTTGCAAGAGAACTGGTGAACAACAAATAATGATTACAGTGATTACAGGCTTCGCTGATTCTTGCTTCATCTCCCCAAAAGACGTGCCATCCACCATAATATCAGGCCCGCCATAGATTGACTTGGTTTTTCAGCTTCATCGTCTTCACCTACTGTAGCACTGCACGAACTGACGAGGAGGCACAAGCATACCAGTTGTGCCAATGCATGGTGCACATGGCTTCCGTTGCGTGTGCAGCTTCGCCTGCTCTGGCCTCGGTGAATTGGCTATCCCGCGCTTTCCTCGCATGTGTTAAAGTCGGCATGATCTTCCGATCAAGCACTGCATATTCTTGGCAGTGTGAGAAGATGGAGCCTGACAGACATCAGAGTTGGCCAAGCAAGGGTCGAAACTACAAGGCTTTAGACCACTTTGAACCTTTCTAGAAGCAAGCTCATCAGCATAGCCATCATGCCGCTGGGGACTCATGCGGACATTTCAGACCAAGAACTTCTGCGTTCTTGCTTTTCATGGGTCGGTTCCGCACAACCCAAACGACACCCGGAACTTATAAAGTCAGCAACAGCGGAGGGGAGCGGAGGGGAGGGGAGGGGAGGGGAGGGGAGGGGAGTGGAGTGCAGTGGCTTCACCGCAATCCTGCATCAGTGAGCGTCACTCTCGTTCACACACTTGATGCGCTCCGCTCGATAGTGGTGGTGTCGGATTCAGGCATTCAAAGGTTCTAGGTTCGAAAGTATGGCTGGCTGCCGCGCAGCCGGGGCACTCAGCATGGACGGCCCGAGCAACTGCATCCATACAAGATCGCACCACCACTGTCCGTTTCCGTGCATGATCTACAGCCGATGGCATCTGATGCGAGCAAAGATATACTGCCTGTTGCCGTCTCGCATGAACCAGATCGACATAGGAACTGGCCCCACAGAACAGCGGATGCTAACAGAAATCACCAAAAATCCACGGTTCAGAGAATCTTCGATCAAATCATTTCCCGTGTGGTGATCAGAGCTAGTTTAAGCCACAACTCTGCTCTTAGGCAGCCTCTTCGAGTGGCAGGCTGTCTAGCCAGTCTGTGATAGCATGTCTTTATATATTAAGCCTTCAGGATGCGTCTGGCGCAGGCTATGCCGCGACGACTTTGTGTCATTACAGGGCCTGGGCGAAGGAAGTAGCCACCTGAGAATGCTCTTGGACCCCGCATGCCCCGCCAAAAGCCAAAGTCTTTCAACACTTTTGGGTTGATTGAGGCATGGGCTCTGTGAAGAAGGTCATGCACAGAACTTCTGGAAATGTGGACGGCTAAGAGGCAGCCGAGCCAGAGCCATGTTCTCCCCGGTTTATTTACCGGGACTATATACCTTAAACCAGCATCTGAGGTTTATGCCCTCAAAGCGGTGGACAAGAAGCGCGTTCTGGCCAGCAACCTCTGCTGTTGGCACATTTTCCTTACATTTCGTCACTGTCAATATTTGTGCGCGCGCGTAAGGACCACAACCTTGAGCACCAGCTAATTGCCGAAGAGTGATACTCAGCCTGCTGAAGTCTGGTACAAGTATGAGGTTTTGATATGTTGTTGATGCTTCTTGGTGCTTCAGAGAACAAGGTCGAAACACAGAGGACGCTTGTGCATCCTAATCTCCTCAGGCCGGGGAAGGATTCGCATGACTTGTTAAATTTACGCGCTGTTTACAATAGTTTACATACGTTTTCGCATGTTCACTGCACGAAGCTCAGTTTATGAACTATTTTGTAGGTGCTTCGATTACTTCACAGAGTCTGACACCGCCCCGCGCCTTGCGATACGCGGCCGGGCAGTGCGTCACATTTGTGCATCTAGAACGGCGGGCCAATCTGTTGTTTTTGTTTCAGAGCTGTGCGACAGTGAAGTTCAAGTTGCTGAGGTGTACATATTGCTGGAACTGGCTTCCGGGGGGGATCTCTACCAGTGGGGATCTCAGCTGTGCAGGTGCCGGAGTGGTGTATGTACAGCAGTGCCCAAGGCATTTGCGACGTCGTGGTCCAATGAAAGAACCACAGTCTGCCTACGTCTTCAGACAGGCGCAGCTACCAAGCTACCAGCGTTAACCTGCAGAAGAGCACAGCACCTGTTGGCTGAATGAGGTCTGCGAAGGTGTCAGGCATTTACATGATCAAGGGCAGTGGTCTCAGCCGTTTTCTGAACGTCCTTGAATAGTCGGCTCAAGTTATTGTCTACTGTTGATGATGAACCGTTGTGACAGGATCATCCATCGAGACCTGAAACCAGAAAACATCCTGCTGACTGAGGAGACCCTTTTGCCCTCTCTCTCTCTCTGCCTCCCTCTCCCTCATGCCCCTGGCAGCACCTGGGATCAAGCGCAGTACCGAAGGACGAAACTGCGAAACACTCAACTGTAAGTCTGCCATGGGGTCGAGTGTTGCTGCTGGTTTCGGAAGCAGTTGTGCAACAGAAAGTACAGATCCCACGAACTGCAATTGGCTGTTGTCTGGCATGCCCTGCTGAGCTCTAGTGTTGGAAGTTTCTTCCCTGTGCTCCCCTACTAGGACATGACAGTGAAAATTGCTGACTTCGGATGGGCAGCCAAGGCCGCCCGTACAGCAAGATTCACATCATGATGGCGCCATGCAATCAAAAGCGGAAACCAAGCAAGCTACGACTCGAGCTAGTGAGGTTTGCATAGGTTTGCTGTGCGTTCTACTGAGGCAGATAGGACCGACACGCGGAAGACCTTCTGCGGTACGCTCTGCATGCTAGCGCCACCTCCTTGGACCGGAGCGTGCTCTACACATGCCATTTGCCAGTCAGGCCCCATGAGTTTTGTTATGTCTGTTTTGGAGGCCAGAGATGATTGCTGGCAAGGAATACGATGCCAGGGTGGATGACTAGCACTCGGCTGATGCATGTTGCTTTGAATGTTGCTTTGAATGTCTCCGCTTTGCCGTGATACAAGAATGACGAGGTTTGGGCCATTGGTGTGACAGCCTTGTTGCTCTTCAATGTTCTGCAGCATCACGGGTGAATTTAGGAGTCTCCAAGGTTCTGCTGTTCGAGATGCTGACAGGGTGTTCTCCCTTCGACAAGGGACAGGGCCTCATGGAAACTTGCAAGCCTGGGCCTCGGCTGTCGAAAGGAGGCGAACCACTCTGGCATTCTCAGCGTGCCTGATGTGACATCATGTGACACATGTGGCACAATGACATCGGAGCCAACCGAAAACTGAGGGCCATTGTCGGACCAGGTATCAGTGCCGTGTCTTTGGACGAGGCCTCTGGGTGGTGCTCCGCAGAATGCACTGAACTCACACGTACATCCGCCTCTGGAGTATGCCACAGCTGGCAATTAGCATTGCGCCAGCAGCAACGGGAACAGGCCATTCGGCAAGACCATCTTGCGTTAATCATTCTACGAAAAAACATGCATGGCCCTGACCGTGTTTCAGTGGTTGGCCGCTGCCCCTGCTCAGTGTACCGACCCACTCTTTCATTTCAATCTTCGTCATGTATCTGGATGGATCTCGTCAGCAGTTCTGAATCTGCTGCCGTTCTGTCTTAATTTCTGTTTTAGCCAACGAAAGAGAACGCAAATGAGTGCAAACGAATTGCATGACAAAGAAACAATCGTGCCTAGACCCGCTCGAAACAGGTTCTTCACAAGCCATGATGTCAAAAGACGCCGCGCTTCAAACTTCCTATATTGCCGAGATTTGAAGCAGTACCGCCCTCCCGCCCTTCCGTATGCTCTCTTCCCGTGTCATGTCAAGAGCCACGGCGTGGGAAGGGATTAAATGCTTCGGGCTTAAGGCAAGGTGCATGTGCCTGGGATGGGATGCTCACAAACTGCTAGCCTCCCAAGAGCCACGAGGGCACAAAAGAAATCAAAAGAAATGTGCAGAGCATTCACCCTTTTTGTCTGCACAACGGTCTCTGGGGCGTTGTCCTTTCCTGGGTGGTTCTCAATTTATTGACGCATCTGGCATGCCCAGTGAAGATGTTCTGAATTCCCATTCAGCATCTGTGCTCGATCGCTTCCAAGTAAAGCCGCGTCAAATCGCAGAAATGCAAACTGGTCTGCCTGTCATCACAA